GGAGCCCGATGTGGGACTCGATCCCAGGACCCTGGGATCATGACCTGAGCCGAAGGCAGACGCTTAACGACTGAGCCACCCAGGCGCCCGGAACTGAGTTTTATTTTAATCTTTTGATGTTTTATGTGGCCTGTTTATACTCATTAGTGGCAGATATCTTTTATTAACAGTATACCAAAAGTTTCTTTTGCTACGCATGCAAAGTACTTGTCCTTTTTCTTGTTGCTACCTTTGAATCATGATTATAAGAAACAGAAAAAAAATATATGTATGAAATGTTTCATGTACATAAATATTTGTATACATTCATTTCCTCTGTTTTTAGTGTTGCTGTAATTAAAATTTGCGGGGGAAAATAATTCTCTATGGAAAAAGCTATATACATCAAAATGATAAATTAATAATTGCTTTTTGTGGGAGTAATTATGTGAATTTAAAAAGTCACTGCATTTTTTAATGCTCTGTATAGATTATTGGAATTGTAGGAAGTACTTTAGTTGTAAATTATGGTCTGGTTTTTCTGATTTTTGAATATCGTTTTCAAAAATGTTGAAAAATGAACGTTATGGAATAATAGAACATTACACTTGGAATAAAAAAATCTGGTTTGTGTTTCTACTCTAATTTTAGCTGTCTTTATGACTTTGAAGCAGTCATGCGTTCTCTTTACGTCACCTGTAAAATGATTTTGACTAGATCAGTAAGGTCATTTCCTACTCTGAAGCTCTGTGTCACTTTTTTTGTGGTTCCTCTGAGCCTTCCTATTCTTCGTTATATTGTTGTTTTATTGTCACTTGAATAGATAGTATTGAGTTGGCTGTATGAAATTTTTTTTAAACATAGAGATAGGAAATAAAAATTTAAGTGTTTTTAGAGTTCCTAGTATTATGATTTTTAAATTACATAAATACACTTAACAGAGCTTTAGAAGGATAGATATAAACTCATTATCAAACTTACTTTGAATCAGTTTTAGAACAGTATACAAAACGTAATTTTAGGAAGTCCAAGTAATGTTCTAATAAGACAGTATAGTCATTTTTACTCTGAAATGGCAACAAACATTTAAAATGTTCAACACATTTCTATTCCCGTGATCAAAATTGTTTGATATTCTTCAAATCAAAACCGCTTTTTCTTCCTTGACTCCTAGGTTTGATATACGTTTGATGAAAGAAGGTCGCATGAAAGGACAAGCTTTCATTGGACTTCCAAATGAAAAAGCAGCAGCAAAAGCCTTAAAGGAAGCTAATGGATATGTTCTTTTTGGAAAACCTATGGTGGTTGTATCCTTTAAATAATCCATTCCAAAGACAATGTGTTTTTTAGTAGAAGGGTATACTTGAAACTAATTTTTTTTTTTTAAGATTTTATTTATTTATTTGAGATGGAGCATAAACAGAACTGGGGCGGGGGCAAAGTGAGAGGGAGAAGCAGACTTTCTGCTGAGCAGGGAGCCCGATGCAGGTCTTGATTCCAGGACCCTGGGATCATGACCTGAGCCGAAGGCAGGCACTTAACTTACTGAGCCACCCAGGCGCCCCTTGAAACTAATTTTTAAGTTATCCTTTAGAAATCTCAACAGCTGGTATTCTAGCTTACTCAGTTATAAACATACTTAGCTGAGTCATATGGGTAGTTAGATTTTTATTGGAAAATAAAGGAACCTCAGTAGCATGAGGTTATTATAATTTAGCCATGTCTAAACATTTCATTTATACAGATCAGAAGTACATTTTTAGGCTAAGCCTAAAACACTAAAGTATCTACAAATACACTTGGAGTCATTAAAAAAAGATATGATTCATTGTAGTTTTACTCTTTTATGTTTTATTATAGATATTATAATTCATATTTCTATTTGAAAATTTTAACCAAAATATATCATTGATTAAACATTCTGCTTTTAGTAGTTAATGCAGTTTGCAAACTAGAAATCAGTGGGATAGATGGAGTGAAGATCTAGGTGTAAAAAATATAAAGAAAAGGTCAATTTTTTACTTCTGCAAATCATGGGCAGCAGGTAGGAGGTACTCAAAAATAAAAAAAAAATATTTGACAAATAGTCGAGAGTAGGAAGACAAGTATAAGAGATACATTTTAAAAACTGTACTTCTGCCCTACATTAGGAAGTTTTTAGTAATTATTTAAGACTACTTGTCCTTTTGTGAAAGAAACCTTAATTTTTAAATATTAGCAGTTTGCTCGATCTGCTAGACCAAAACAAGATTCTAAAGAAGGAAAAAGGAAGTGTTAAAAATAAATGAAGGTAAGTGTGGATATAACATAATAAAAGAACAAGACTTTCTTGAGATAAAATGAAGTATAAAAGCCTTCTAGAGTGATAATTCAGGTATTTCCTAAGGTTTTTAAAGGATAATTGATCAGTTGATCCATCTATCCATCCATGTCTCTATCACTCTCTGTGTGTCACTGTCTATGCAGTTAATTCTCAATAAATTTCAAAATTATAACTACAGAATAAAGCCCATGTGTATGTAAAATTAAGTTTGGAGAATGAGTTTATGAGGGTAATATGTCTTTGTCTTATAACTTTTCAACCTACAGGAAAGCAGTGGTTCTTAAACTTTAACATGTATTACAGTCACCTGAAGGGCTGATAAAACAGCTAGGCTTCCTTCACCCTCATCCAGAGATTCTGATGCAGTAGGCCTGGAGTAGGAGCCTTGTATAGTCTACCATGCCAGTTTTCCTGTGCTGAAACCGGGAAAGGGTCCACCAAGCCAAGACCAGTTGGTCACTCTTAATGGGGCCTAAGAATTTGCATTACTGATTGCACATGTCACAAATATTTACATATTTTTTTGTGGAGTGAAATCTTTTGCCTTTCAAACAAGTAATTTTAATGCATACTTAAGTAATTTAATGAATAAAAATGATAGAATTAATCATTTTAAACTTCAAAATTTGTGTTATATTGATTTAAGAAACCTGAGTGGAAATACATTCTTTTTGTTCTATTTTAAATCTTTCTGCCTTTATATTATATTATATATATAGTTATATATAATATATAACTCAGTCAACTTGTATTAAGCTGAAAAAATAATATAACTAAATAAGGGAAAATTTTGTTTAATGTTTATTCTTTTTGTGAAATGCCTTGAATATTTGAATTTTGTGACGTATCTATACTGATATAGTCAGAATTCTTACAAATACCTTAGTGGAATGGTTAAAAATTAACAATTTTCAGTGTGTGTTTGAAAAAATCATTTATTTATAAATCTAATGTGAGAACTGAGAAAAAAATTAAATTGCATTCTGCTGTTCTTCTTTAGAAGCATTCCTGCGTAAATACTGCTGTATTACTGTCATACAAAGTGTATCCTTTCTTGTTGTATCCTTTTTGGGGCAGTTTTCTGTTTTTCCTAGAAATGTTTTGTCCCTCCCCTACCCATTGATTCAGATTAAGCAATAGTTTTTTTTCTAATTTATTCAAATGAGATATTTCTAAAATTACCAATGTTGATTGGACAAATCACTTACGTGTTTTTTAGATCTGTTGCTGAATTTTCTATACTGTTCTTGAGGTTATGTAATTTTTCTAGGGAAAGTTAGTGAATCAGGTCAACTTACTTGGAGAATGTATGCATCTGCTTCAACACAATTTAGTCTTGTTTCTTACATTTATGTATTTCCTAAACCTAATTCAATAACATATGATTTCTGTTTTATGATGTATCTGGTTTAGGTGTTCTATATAACGTATTGTAAAATTTGGGGAAAGGATTTTTTTTCTTTTAAAAATATTTATTGAAAATTAAAATAACTGAATTTCTTTGTAAATTCCAAGAGTAGCAGACCTCATATCTGAGGTTTTATTATTGATACTTCCTTTGAAATAGGTAGCCAGTAGAAGTATTTTTTTTTCCTCTTTCTTTCTCTAAACAAAACAAAAGGAATGAGAAAAGAGGAACAGAGGGAAGAAGACATAATGTTGACTCAGGGTAGCACCTTAAGTGAAAAGAAACAATCTGGTAGGTATATGTAGTAACAGTGGTTTCCAGACGGGTTGATGACCAGAATTACCTAAAACAGTGGTTCTTAATCTTTTTTTTTAAGATTTTATTTATTTATTTGAGAGAGAGAGAATGAGAGAGAGAGAGTACGAGAGGGAAGAGGGTCAGAGGGAGAAGCAGACTCCCTGCTGAGCAGGGAGCCCGATGCGGGACTCGATCCCAGGACTCCAGTATCATGACCTGAGCCGAAGGCAGTCGCTTAACCAACTGAGCCACCCAGGCGCCCCAGTGGTTCTTAATCTTGGCCACATTTTGGAATCACCTGGGAAACTTAAAATCTGATGAAGAAAAAAAAAAAAGGCTAAAATGTACTGATGCCTGGGTTTCTCCCCATTTTGATTTAATTGGACTGGCCCAGCATAGATACTGGAATTTTTCAGATCTCCTAATGTGTGACCAAGGTTGAGAATCACTGAAGAAGGATTTTTACATTTAAAGATTCCTGGACTCTCTTCTAAAACTAATAAATCAGAATTTCTGGGAATGGGACCAAGAATCTAATTTGAAAAGGTGTCTTTAGTAGTTCCGAGGGCTGACCAGTTTGGATACTAATTTGTTAGATTAAAATGGTTGGGTGCTTATACCAACCTAGCCATCCAACCTTCTGTAAGTAGGAAAATCAAGAATTGGAGCCTCTGCATGTCTTGCAAATCCTGCTCTTGGTAGTACTAGGAAAACAATTCAAAATTCTGTTAATAATTATTATCATTCAAGAGTACAAAAGATTAGAGATATTGAAGTTGCTGTTTTTTGTAGATACAGTTAAAATGTTTAATGTTATAAATCACAGTTTCTATATCAGCTTTTTATTTAGACAATTAAAAATTTGTAGTACTGACATGATTCACTAATTTTCTAAATATGAATGTGTTTTAAAATAACTAAAAACTAATGAACTTTTATAATCATAATTATTTTTAATGAACTCTTATGGTGTTTTAGGTTCCTTTTGATTCCATGTCTTCCAACTGCTTTCCAACTTTAAGGAGAAGAAATTGACACCTGGAGTATGGAACTGTGCGTAACAGCTTTTAAAGTATATTTAAAAATTAAATCTATATGCGTTTAAATCAGTTTATTGGAGATATATTACATGTATTTTAATCATTTTCCTCATATATAATAAATTATTTTCTTTCCAATAAAATAATGTTCTTAATTTTTTTATCTTGTTTAATACATTTGGAAAGTGTAATTTGATAATTACATAAAATTTTGAAGGTAATTTTACAATACTAAATAGGAATTCTCTTTTATGATTACAGATACTGCCCTCTGCCCTTTTTTTCATTCTTACCTGGATACCAATGCAGTTAAACATACTTTTTTATGGTAATAGTATTTCTTATTTCTTGTAATTATTTTAGGAGTGGTTTTGTTTGGCTATGACTTGTTTTTTTTTGTTGTTTATTTTGGGTTTTTTTAGTAGTGGAGGATTTTCCCCACTTTAGGAAATTTGTATTCTTGCCCTAATTTAGTCTTATTTCGGTGCCCTTAAATCGATTAGATTATCACATAAGGGTGTAAATGTTTCCCATACAAAAGTATTGTGTTATCTTAGTGAAATTAGCTTCAGCTATGTGTTAATAAGAAAATTTTGCTATATTTAATTTGTTCTTATTAATACTGTCCTGTGAGTATATAATAATAACTTCACCAGAATCAATGCCCAGAGACTTGGTCTTTGTTGGAATGCTTTTGTGAATCATAGCTTTTGTCTCCTAGCATTGTGAAATAATGAAAATGGGAATTTTAAAGATAAGAATTAGAAGTATGGAGAAGTGAACCCCAGAACATGCTCATTTTTAGATGTCAGGTATATAAAGAATAGGTAGAAACCAAACAAAATATCTCAGGTAGGAAGGGCTGGTGAAATATATCAGATCTGTTCTTGACAGATCTCTCCTTGACAAACTGATCTGATGAATGAAAGAAATGAGAGGAGGTATTAAAGAGAATGGTAGAGAGGAATTTAATATAGTGAGAACTGAAGACAACCATGATAGAGAGTCTTGCTCTCAGGGGGATAGAAATGGGCTGTTAATGCAGGGGGGGAATAGTATCAAGAAGGGTTTTGATTTTGTTTTGTTTTATAAAGATTGAAGATATAGCAGGTTTGTATGGACTAATCCAGTAGGACTAACCTAGCAGAGGAAAAAACAAATATGGTGCACGAAGGAGAGGGATATTGTTGGAGATGTAGATATGGTATGCAAATAGAAGAGTTAGTTTTAAAGATGGGCGTGTAAATGGCTCATTAATAGCAGGGAGAAAGGACTGATTGTGTAGGCCTAGATGTTTGTAGTTTGCTGGATATATAGGAGGAGCATGTAGAAGTTGTATGATAGTTTTTCCGTGAAATAGGAAGCAAGGTCGCCGAGGGAAAGAGTATTGGATTGAGGAAAGAAAAGAAGGTGTAAAATAGACACTAAGAAAGTGGCAGAGTGAATAGATTCTTAGAAGGATGGCTAGACAGTACTTAAAGTGGTCAGTTGAAGTCTGTTAATTTAAGTGAGACTAGTCAAATGATTTTGTGTTTTCCTCCAATGATGTTTAGCCTCGTTGCCATCGAGTAGACAAGAGTTGAATTTAATCAAAGTTGGAATTTTCCTAGATGAATACAACAAAGTGAGAGGAAGGAAAAGGTGTTGATATACTCAAGGGAATAATTATAAAGAAAAGACATAAAAAGAGATCTGGGTAAAGAGCAAAGTGAGAAAATGAAGGTTGAGAAACAATGGAAAAATGGTGTGATCAATTATATATAGATTGCAGTATGATTGAAGATCTGTTGGAGTTATTTACTAGAGGTAGGAAGTAGAAATTTGAGAGGTCCAAATAAGAGAATAATGTGACAAATTGACAAAGGCAGAGAGAATACAGTAATTAGTGTCTATAAGTTCTAGGATGTGAACCAGGTAGTTAAGTGAAAACAGGGTCATGGAAAAGAGATGAATTAAAGAAATTGAGAAACTTGAGTATGAAAAGGATCATCTAAGTGGATTTTGAAATTATTAAGAATTATGACAGGAATAGTGAACCAAGATCTAAATAAAATTATCTCTTAGAACATATAATTCTGTTAGATATGGAAAAAGCAATATTTAAAAAAAATCATTTTATAAAACTCTTTCTACAGTGACAGGAAATTCAGCCTAATTTACTGAAAACTAGTGTATTACAGTGGTTTTCTAGGTGTAGATTCTCACATCAAATCTTGTTTCTGAGGTTTAATTGCTTTATCGCCTTGGGCAGGGTCTATCAGTTTCCATGGAGATAAGCAATACCTATCGTAGGGTTGTTGTAAAGATGATTTGGTGAATATAAAATACTTAAAACAAGTCTGGGGTGTGTGTGTGTGTGTGTGTGTGTGTGTGTGTGTGTGTGTGTGTGTGGTCAAGTTCTCAATAAATATTAGCTCTTGTAGTGGTTGTGGTGGTTCTTAACTCACACCAATTCCAGGTGACATAAAGATTTTGATGTCTTAGACAAGACTTCAATCATCTTTCCGCTGTGATGACCCACACTTCTTTTGCTTGCCTCGATTATTCAGAGTTCCTTTAGATGGTCTAAGAATTAAATTGACATGAGACATAATTCATAATTTCTTAACCTTAAGTTAGCTTTAATACTGAATATTTTCCCAGTTCACGTGAACTTGAAATTCATTTGGATTGAGTTTCTTTTTTTTGAGGATTTTTATGAATGCAAAACTTAAATAAGTGCTTAATTTTCTATAAGCCAATCAAATAGAGCTCTTTTACAAAATCATTTGAGCAATTCTAACTGGAAAATGGCATATATCCACAATAGACACATACTGAATGATGGAGAAAACTTACCATTATTAATATTTGAGGAGAAAGGAGCAAGAGAACCCTTTTGCAGTTTGTATGTTTAAAAAATACCTGCTTCCTTCTTTTTTTCCTTTACTCAGGCAATTGTGGGCTGTGTGTACACTTCAGAGATAACAAGATTTATAACTTTCAGGGACAAAGAATGTAAGGTTTTTTTTTTCCTAAGAATTATAGGGTAATTGCTATTTAGAATTTACCTTCCTTTTTTAAGTACAGGACAATTCTGTTTCAGTATCCTGATTTTTTATAATACCTATAAGCATTTTGAGAGGAATAGGTGAGGTTTTGGGATTGGTAGAGATGGTGGGGGTTGCTTCTAGAGTTGCATTTCTGGTTTTGTAGAGATTTGCCAGGCAAAGTTGTTGCTAATTCCCAGAAAGAACTGAATTACAGCCTGAATATCAAGATATTGATCGGCCTTTTTAACTAAACTTGTCTCCTTAGATCTGGGAGATTTCCACCTAAAGTGGGAATCAGAAGATTTATATCTTTGTAAAAAAAAAAAGAAGTCTGTATAAATCATGTTAACTAAAGCCTTCTTTCTTCACAATTCAGTCTTGGCTTCTGTTAGCCCCTGAATTTCAGCCTTCTGCTGCTGTTCATTTGTAGGAGGGCCAGGAAAAATTGTGTGTGTCTTTTTTAGTGGGGAGGATGTGAATCTTTCCAATTTCTCTTTAAATTTGGTGGGATCTTCTGAAAGTGGAGGTAAATTTGGGCTTTATAAGTTATAAGATTTGCTGCTATTCCAAGGGACATGAAATTTTTTCCCTCCTGGGTTTGGGGTGGGAGGGTGGGAATCCAGGGTATATCTGCAAAGGACATGGCATAAGAATGCCTAAAGCTGGCAGAGCCTGATTGTAGAGCTTTAGAAAGTAGGAGTTGTAAGAAATTGCCAAGTGACATAAAAAAAAAAAAAAAAAAAGCAAAGTGAGCCCTATCACTTGTCTTCAGTGCTTCTGTTAAATTCACTTCATGGGTTTTAGCATTTATATGAGTAACGTATATACACTGACTCTGGAGTTTAGGCTGGAGTGCTCTGTGTAAATCTTAAAAGGAAGGGTAAGTTAAAACAGGCAGATGGAGCTGGTTTTTAAGAAGGGGAATTTACATCAATTTTTGTCTTAAGTCTAACTTCTGTTCTTCCACCTTGTTAAGGGAGTCCCTAAGTCCCTACCCCTAGTAAGTATACTAATAAGACAATTGAGAGCTCTGTATAAGGATTTTATTTTCCTTTGAAATGTAGCCAATTTAAAAGATTTAATGTCTGACAGTTGATGAGTAGGCTCTTACTAATATTAATAGCAACTCAAACCAAAAAGCCTTTTTTTTTTTTTTTTTTGGAAATACCCAGGGGCAATTTCTAGGCTTAGACCATGGGTGCAAGAGGCATCCCTGGAGAGGGTATAGATGATACAGTCCCCATCATCAGCAAAGTTTACTCCCAAAAATAGTCAGAGAAAGCAAATGCCTTTGTTACACAGGCAGTAAGGATGCTTTAGTGAGAACAGTGTCTTTGATCACCCACAAAAACCTGAATTGCCTCCAGTTGACCTACTAATCTGTGACACCAGGCAGGTGCTACTGGAGTGGGACATTTCAGCACTAACAAGCAACAAAGGTTAAGAGCACAGAAGTCCCTTATGGACTGGGACCTCTTATGACTTACTTTCTGAGGGCTGTCATGGCTAGACAGAGAGTGCTGCTAGCAACTTTATGTCTCAGAACCCCACTCTTATTTGGCTACCAAGGTGTACCCCAGTAAGTGCATTGTCTGCATGGTGGAGACCAGAGAAAATCAAGTTCTCAAGACAAAAGGAAAAACCTTATCCAGATTTTATGTGTGGGACCCACAGCAAAGTTTGTCGAAAATATGCCCATCTGATAACTATGAACTCAACAATCTTATGGCCTATGCTGGTATTTCCCTCTAGGAATTCCCTTTTATAACAACACAAAAGACAAAAATAGTGACCATCTCTGGGGAGGAAATGGATTAGTAAAATCAAGAGTACTCTATTGAATTTATCAGAGATGCTGAGCCCATGAGTATTTCCAAAAATACTTTCCTGCTAATGCTAAATTTAGAAAGAAAAAGGATTCACCTCACTCTTGTTCCACCAGATCTTGCAGACAGATTCCAGGAGGCTGACACGGTAAAAT